GTGTGGTTTCTGTCTCCCTGCTTTCCTCTTTCTGGCTTCCCTACAGAAGCTGGGGAGTGTATACAAAGTCACAGGCCAGAGCCTGGCCTGGACATGCACCAGCCCATGCCACTGTCCACCCCATGCCCTTACAGCCGGTGCTGCGGCACCCCCATTCCTTCTGCCTGGGTGCTCTTGGGGTTGGTCCACGCCCCCCCGAGCTGGACTTCCAGTCAAGTACCAGGGGGCAGCCAAGTACCCGGTCTGCTAGTGACATTAACACCAGCCCCCAGGGCCCATTTCCCCCTTCATCTGCCCCACCTGACTCCATGCTCCTCCAGGGAGCAACAAAATGCCTTCTGCTGAAGGGCCAGAGCAGAGCAAAGAGGACGCTGGGGGGCATCTGTTGGAAGTGGAGGGGTTGGCAGGCCCCTCTACCACGGTTCCTCCTGCATAAGCCAGCCAGAGGGCCGGGTGAAGTCCTAAGTGCCCACCCAACAACAGCAAGGTCAGGCCAGTGGGGACTCAGGTTCAGAGCAAGTTATGTCCTGCTGACACTTCCCAAGGCTAGACACATGCTGGCCCTTCATATATATGCTTACGCTGACCCCTCCAAGTATCCTTTATGGAGATGGAACAGCATAACGGTCAAGGCCATGAGTGCTGGACTCAGACCTGAGTTCAAATCCCGCCTCTGCCGCATAACAGCTGTGTGAATTTGGACAAGCTTCTCAACCTCCTGGACCTTCGATTTCTCACCCGTGAAAGGGAGCGGACATGCCCCCATCTGACAGGAACTGTGAGAGATGGCTCTCGAGGCAAGAATCAAGGCTCTACCAATAGCAGCCCGTCTCTGAGATCGGAAAATGGAGTTGAGAAGCTATCCCAGCACTCACAGCCTGCAAGAGGCCACGCTGGGGTCAACCGAAGCCCCGTTCCTCTCACTTCCTCTGTTCTGCTGGCAAATCGAGGAACCCACCATGCACTGAAGCCAGCCCCAGATCAAGCCGAGCCGGGGGGTGGGGGGGTGCAGCCAAACCACAGCGCCCAGGCTGCCTGAGGCCACCCAGCCAGCGCAGGCCCTTCAGCCACACCTCTCCCATTTCCCAAACTGTGCGTTCCTGATCCTGCAGCCAGGTTCACACCCACTGCAGGCCAGTCCCCATGCTGGAGAGAGGGCTCTTGCGGACGGCCAAACGTGAGTCTGACCCGGAGAAGCTGCAGGGCCCAGGAGGAGAGGCAGACAGAGGTTCGGGAGTACTAGTGAGCCCCATTCAACCTGCCAAAGGCACTTTTCTGTGGATTCTTGTCCCAGCTAAGTCAACACTTCAGACCCTGATCTGTTCGATTCATTTCCAGAAATACTGTGACACACAGCCACAGCACGGGTTACTCCACAGGGACCCCTCCTTCTCAGCCGGTTACCTCCCTCATCCAGGCTGCCCATACCCCTGCTTCCCCTGAGAAGAGGTTCTGGCTTCCAGGGAATAGTGCAGCGATACCCTGTAGGAACCATAAGCCACAGGGACTGGGGATTCCATGGAGAAAGGGGAATGCCCAGAGCAGCTCAAGTAGAGATTTACGACAGAGAGGTAGTGTCTGGTACACAGGCCTTCAGGGAAGGCGTGAGGGAAGGGAGAGGCCCAAAAAGAAGGAATGAGGAAGAGAGAGGCCCCATGCTTGGCAAAGGCCAGGGGGTGGGCAGCCCCCAGGAGAGGAGCACTGTGTGTGCATGGGGAGGGGTCTGTGGGATGGGGAGAACGGTGGACACTCGGTCTGGGCAGCCCAGAGCTCTAAGAAAGGCAGTAAAATAGGGTGGAATCTCTGGCCTTCCTCTCTACCCCTGTCCTGCCAAAGCAGGGTTAGATCCAGCACAAGTGCAGACTCAGCTCCAGCTGAATGCCCCAGCCTGGTTCAAGACAACCAGAGCCTCATCTCCCACTCACTCTCCTCTACACACAGGCCAGCCTCCTCACTCTCTCCTGCTTCCTCACTGAACCCCAGTCCTTTCTCCACACATAACCAGGGGCTCTTCACTAGGCTTCAATCTGATGCTGGCTCTCCTGTGTACAATTCCTGCCACCCTGCACCCTGGTCTGGCCTCCCGGACTTGCCTCTCACCCCTCTGCCAGCCCTCACTGGCACCCCAAGCCATTTCTCCTGCGGGGCCTTTGCACATCTTGCTCCCTCTGCCAGGCATGCTCTTCTAGCAACTTCCCAAGACAGGCTGCTTGCTGGAGGCACCTCCCCCCTCACCAAGCCACTCAGGAGCGCCCAGCACTCCTTCTCAGCGTCCTGTTTCATAGCACCCATCACAACTCCTCAGGATTTTGTGTGTACTGTCAATCGCTCCCTGCTCTGGATCACCGGCTCTCGGGGGGGGGGGGGGAAGCGGGGGGACGGCAGGATTTTGTCCCCCAGGAGACGTTTGGGAATGTCTGGAGGCATTTTGGGTTGTCACGAAGGGGGTGGGGGAGGTTACTGGTATCTAGTGGGTGGAGACCAAGGATGCAGCTCAACGTCCACCAAAGCACAGCAGAGAATGCTCGGCGAGAAATGTCAATAGGGGCGGGGTTGAGAAAAGCTGCAGGAGAGGAAGAGCCCACGAGAACTGGGTCCCCGGCGGCGCTCCATGCACGCAGGAAGGAGGAATGAATAAGGAAGGGGAGAATGGAGCGACCGAGCGAGTGATGGACAGACGCGGAGACCCCGGCCCGCGTCAGCCCCGCCCCCCAGTCCCGATCCCTCCGCGGACCCCGACGCGCCCACCGCGCGGCCCCGAGGGGCGAGCCCCGGGCCGGGCGCGCCGCGCGGACACTCACCCGCCCGCGGCCGCCCGGGAGCGGCAGCGCCACCCTCCCGCTTCATCGTGCCCCCGCGGCCGCCGGCCGGGAAAGGGACAGGACGCGCGAGCCGGAAGCGCTCATGCGCTACGCCCGCCGGGACTTGTAGTTCTCGGACTCTCAATGCCCGGCCAGCTGCCTCACGCGCGGCTCCTCAGAAACTACGACTTCCGGTGGCTTCGACGTCGCGGGGCGGGATTGGCAGCTTTAGAATCACTCTATTTTGCAGATCGGAGTCTGATTGGTTATGTGCAGCTGTCGCTCAGGGTGACGTTCGATGGCCCGTTGCGAAAAGGAGAAGTTTCGCGGGTTGGGTCCGGGAAAGGGGAGCGGGTACTTCCGCCAGGATGGCCCAATCGCAGTGGAAGGGCAGTTTCTATAAAGGCTTGAGCCTCGCGCCCTTCGTTCTTTTGGGATCAAGTGCGGGTCTGGGGTGTTTGCCTTTGCTGGTGCTATACGCCAAGGTCATGGGCGCAGTGGGCCCCGAGTGGGTTTGAGGGGGTCCCCCAAGTCTGCAGGCCGGCCTGGCCCTCTTCCGCCTCGGTGTTGTTCACGTTTTTTGCTCCGCTCTCCCCACCCCCCCGTTCGGTCGGAGAAGTCCGAACCTCCAGACCTCCATCTCCCGGCAGGTAAGGCTGGGCCGGGCCTCCTCTCCCCTAGGCAGCTTCGAGCCTGTGATGAGTTGCTTTTATTTCTGACACCTCGTATGAAAACTGCACATGCAGTCTGATTATTTTGTAAGACTGAGGCTTCAAGGTGCGCCCCCGTGACGGGGGCGGCTGGGTGCGAAACTATCTTGCCCGAAATGGGAGTGGGCTTCTGTCTACATTGTGGTGCTGTCTGCCTTCCAGGGCGGTGGGTGACCCGGCCAGAGGCCGTGAACGTGAGTCGACGTCAGCCCGGAGGCCTGGTGGTAAGGCGGGAGCCTGTGTCTGTCTGGGAAGCGCTGAGCAATAAAGCAAAAGTGGTGAGTTGATTGGAACGCAGGTGTCTTTCTTTTCACACGTGACTGCATCCCATAGGACCCCACGGTAGCACTGGCTCATCCCTGGGTAGTCTTGGGACACTGCAGAGGAAGATGGATGTTTGTACAGTGACTTCCCCACTGTTGGAACTGCCTTCTTCATATTTCCCTATAAGGCCAAAAATACTGTGGGTTTTTGGCCTGTGCCTTGGGTAGGTCAGGAACTCTTAATTCTTCACTAGCGGGCCATGGAGCACTGTTTTTTTATTCCATTGTGTCTTGTGGGAGGAGTGGACATGAATCACCTAGGCTCCCCTGTCCTCCTTAGACGCCACTGGGGTTCCAAGCAACCTAGTTACAGCGCGGGGGGCGGGTGCCACTCTCTGAGTGTTAAAGATGATCCGTACTTTGCCGAGGGGTCCAAAGGGGGATTTCTTTGAACAGAAAAGAGAGGCAGTCCAGAAAACACAACTTTATTCACTAGGACTGAACAAAGGCTCTTAATCTAAAGACGAACTTCAAGATTTGAGTACGTGGAGTGTACTACCAGCCCCCTGGCTTGACCTCACTAAGCACAGGCCTCGGTGGGGCTGGCAGTTCTAGTTTCCCTGACATTTCTGTGATTTCCCACATGGTGTTCGTCTCTTACAAAGCCACAACCTTGGCATCCTCCAAGGTAGCATGAAAGGAAGACCCTGTTGATGCTGGAAACAGAGTCTCCTAGCGTGTGAGCTGGGAGCAGGTGGCTCTGATCCTTGGGGCACAAATGCATGGTATGGTTTGCGGTGAAGTCCTAGGTCCCAGGCACGGGCAGGAGTCCTGCCTTTCCCTGCCTGGGCAGCGTGTGCAGGTGAAGACATGGTTTTCTCTTAAGGGGTCAGGCACTGTACATGTGCTGCTGGTAGCGCGGCCCAGCTTCCAAGCTGGGCGTGTCCAGGAGGGGGCAGCAGAGCGCCCCCCGTGGGCTGTACATCGTGAGGCGCCCCCTCCTGTACTGAAGACCCTTGCTTTTCTGTCAAGGCCCTCAGGCAACAGCAGGTGAAGGGGGGTTGCAGACCCACTGGCCCCTTGAAGCCTGTTGGGCCTGAGGTTCTGGGAAAGGCAAGGCTCCATCTGGGAGTTCCAGGATCGGACACCCTGGGATTGACTTTGGGATGACTAAATCCGGGAGTCCCTGTAAAGCCTCTGTCCAGCCTTGCAGGGCCCTCCCAGGTTCAGGGTGTGCAGCAGGAGGCTCCTCGGCCCTCCCTCTTGACATAGTCGTGCAGCCTGAAGCGGGGTTCACTGGGGGCCTTCGTGGAGCGCTGCTTCAACTCCCTGTGGGGCAGGGGTGACCATGGAACAGAGTGGCTTCTACCCCAGCAAGGAGATTCAGACTCCAGGTCTGGGGGTGGGGGTCTTCCTGGTGACTGCCAGGACTTACTTTGCAATGGCTGTGAAGGCCAAGTCCACATTGAGGCCTGTTTTGGCGCTGGTCTCCATGAAGGGCAGCCCGTACTCCTGCAAACAGCTGGTGGCAGCCAGGTGGCAGCCTGGTGGGGATAGCCCAAGTCCCACAACCCCAGGGACACCCCTGGCCACCCACCCTACCCTGGCTCACCTTGGCCAGCTTCTCCCCATCCTCCCTCTTGACCGCACGCTCCTGGGCAGAGTCCACCTGGCACAGGGGTCTTGGTGAGAGCTGGCCCAGGGCTTGCCCGCTCCCTTGCCCCTCTGTAGAGCCAGGGAAGAGAAGGGGGGCTGAGGCGCTCACCTTGTTCCCCAGCAGCATAAGCACCACGTCATGCTGGGCATACTCCTGGATCTCGGTCAGCCAGGCCTGTGGGGGAGAAGCTGAGACCAGCCTAGAGGCTGGCAATCCTGCGCACCCCTTGTCCCTCCAGGCCACATGGCACAGACGGCCTGTGTGGCTCTGGCTAACTGGAGGGGCCCAGAAATAGTGGTCCCCGTGCCAGGTGGAGTACCCTATCCAAGGTGTTGGACCGAGCTGGAAGGTCCCCAGACCCCATCCAGCTCACAGGCAACCTGAGCCACCAGAGGGGCCGCCCTTCCCTGCTGTCCTCCGTGGGGTCCTCCGACCTCTGGGACCCTAACGCCCCATGGCCTGTCCCACCACCAGGAAGGAAACCACTGACCTGGATATTGTCAAAGGACGCCTTGTTGGTGACATCATAGAGCAGCAGCAGCGCTGGGGGCAGAGAGCCAGTGAGGACAGCTTCCTGGCACCCACACCCTCGTGCAGCACAGCCTCCAGGCTGCCTGCCATGCTCACACCCAGGGCACCCACAGAGCGCAGCCTCCGCTTCCTGGGGCTGGCGTCCCGCGCCCACAAGCTCACCATGGGCATCGCGGTAGTAAGCGTGGGTGACGCTGCGGAACCGCTCCTGGCCAGCCGTGTCCCAGATCTGCAGTGACAGGCACAGCCCGGGAGTTAGGGATGCCAGTCCCTTCCCCTCACCTCCCCCGCCCCCCGCCCCCACCTCTCACCTGCAGCTTCACCTTCATGCCATCCACATCCAGAACTTTGTTCTGAAAGACAACCAGCCAGCTCCACTGAGCCCAGCGGCTAGGACAGTGCTGCCCCCTAGTGGGGGGCTCCTGCAATGCAGGCCAGGACCGAGCCTGAGCTTGTGCGGCCCCTGGCACGTCCCCAAATTCACTCTTACCCTGTCTGCCCCTCAGCTGGCTGGGTTCTGTCCCCGATGCCCACCTCCTGGTTCTCCTCGTCTGACCATTTCGCCTCCCTATACCTGCAGGTAACCTTTCACCTCAAACCCAAGTCCTGGGATGCACCCAGCTCTCCCCACCCCCGGGGCCTCCTGCACCTCCCCCTGGTGAGCCCCACCTGGTGATGATGCCCAGGCCCCTCTCCCACTCAGATGGCCATCCTCATGGACTTGCAGGTTCCTGCCCTCCAAGGGCAGCTGTGTCCAGTTCTGGGCCATGTGTGCTCTTTCTCTGCCCACCTGGGAGGCCTGGCACACGGCCCCACTGCCCTCAAAGGCCCTTTGCCACCACCCGGCCCAGTCAGTCACCGAGTCCTGTTGCTCCGGCCCTCCCCCCTCCTCCCTGCCCTGCCCCAGCACCTCTCCAGCCCAGACCTGCTGCCCTGCCTCCCACTGGCGCCTAGCCCTAGTCAGCTTCCCTGCACCTCCTTGCCAACTCAGGTTCACCATGCACATCTCTCCCTATACCCTCGCAGACTGTGGAGGCCCTGCCCCAGCCCCTCTGACGGGCCATCAGCTCCTCACAGCTCTACACGTGATGCTCCTTTTGCCCAGAGCCACCCGCATGACCTCTGTGAAGTTATCATGGTGTAACCCCAGGCCCATTACTAACATTCTGTGCCTCAGTTTCCCCATCCACAAAGGGAGATAACCAGGGTGCCCATCACATGGCTGCTTCAATGGCTTCATGAGCTACTATGTGCAAAGCACTGAGAACTGTATCTGGCCCAGAGTGAGAGCGAAATGCTTGCTCCAATTTAAAAGCTTCTCTTCCTGCTGGGACAACAGCTCCCTGAGGAAAGGACCCAGTGCAGTAACCACAGAACCCAGAATTCGGCCTGGTACACAGTGGGTGCTCATCGACTGTTTGCTGGTAATGGTCACCTGGCAGGCCCTCCCCGCTCAGGACTAGTGGCAGGGAGGGGCCCAACCCCACGGCTCCCATCTGCTGGGGTGGGGGTTGGGGGCCTGGTAGCCTCAGGCCCTGCCAGCTGGGACCACACAGCCTCCCTCTTCCCCAAGCTCCTGCTGTCAGGGTGCTTCTGGGTCTCCCAGGAACCAATGGTACAGCCATCTGCCAGGCTGAGAGGAGGCTGGAGAGGACACCCCGCCTTCACTGGCACCCTTGAACAGGGGTGTGAACCGAGCGGCCTCACCTCCCTTGCCACCTGCCCCAGAGCCAAGAGGGAGGTGAGAAGGGAAGGTGGGGCCAAAACAGGCAAAGGACGACCTGTCCAGGGCCTAAACTGTCCTTTTCTGGCACCTGAACCCTTACTTCATCTCAGAAGACTTGAGGGGACCTGGACCCCCAAGCAGGGTAAATAATGGCTCCCTAGCCTGGAGGGAGCCCCCTTTCCCGTTCCCAGAATGGGCCTCCCTCCCAGCCTCCCGCCAACTGGGTCTAATTAAAGGGTGAGAAAAATGCAAATTTAGGATTTGTCTAGAACACACCAGCGCCTTGGCAAGGCACTCAGAATTTAGACTGGTGGGTAGAGGTGGGGGCGTGGCTGCTGTGGCCCTCATCATTCCCTGCTGACCCCACAGGCTATTAGGGTGCCAGGGGGGTGTGGGGAGCCCCAAAATCAGGTGCACTCCCCCTGCCCCAAAACCCCAGGGACACAGCCCTCCTGTTGGGGGCAATGTGGGAGGGGGCTCTGGCAGGGGGGAACAGCCAGGTGGGAGCATTTACTGTGAGCTCCCTCACCCAAGGGCAGGGACACCCCCCCCCCCAGCTCCCAGAGGGGTGGGTATGCCACAGGCACTTCTCTCTTAGGTCCTCGGCAGGCTGCCTGGCACCTGTGTACCGTGGGGCAGTGATGTTAGCCTCCCAAGGGAACATGGGCCTTGAGTTCCCTCTGATGGCCACCCCCTGGGGCACCCGGCCCACCCACCCTGAGGCACAGAATACAGTCCCAGGCATAGGAGTGCTACCCCTGCTTCAGTCACATGCAGCCATCACCTGTCTCCAGGATCCTTAGGGTGTCAGGAGTTGGGCATTTTGGTGGTTAAGGCATACCCCCTCGACCACCCTGACCCTGAGTGCCAGGTGGTCCAGACAGGAGGTGTCCAGGGCTAATGGGGAGCCAGCTGCCCAGGGGTGTTGTGAGAACTCCGTGAGCTGGTGCGGGGGGCCCAGGGCATGGCTGGGTCAGCTTAGTGCTGAGGACATCAGCCTCCCCTCTCACCCGGAAGTCGATGCCCACAGTGGAGATGAAGGTCCCTGCCAGGAAGGCCCCATCCTTGAAGCGCACGAGCAGGCAGGTCTTCCCCACGCCCGAGTCCCCCACCAGCATGACCTGGGGCGAACAGGAGGGTCCGAGGTGTCAGGGACAGAGGGGACCAAGGTGCTGGCCCACCCAGAGGGGTGTCTGGTCTTCCCTGAGCTGGCCTGGTCAGGAGTGGACGAACTGTCCCAGGCCTGCAGGTTCAGCAGGACCTGGGCAAGACAGGGTAACTATGGTCCCTGCCGGCTGGACCTCCAGCTTCCACCTCCAGAAGGTCCGGTCCCCTTTCTCTTGAACAGTGGCCCATCTCACTTAATGGGGAGTGGAGGCAGCTGCCTCCATCCAGGGCCCTACCTAACCCCACCCCCAGACCCTGGACACCATGCCTGATCTGAAAGGGGAGCATTTGGGGCTTGGTGGGGAGTGGACTCTGGAGGTTGGTGGCTGGAGACCTTCGGGGAGGCCTGTGGGGGTCTCTGTGCCAGGGCGCTTCTTCTAATCCCAGTAAGATTCTGGAGGAATTTGCCACATGAGGTCAAATCTTGGCCTGAGAAGGCCTAGGTCAGGTCTGGGGACCGAGAGGAGGCAATCAGGCCTCCCCCTCGTCCACCCCTCCCCCAGCCTGCTGTCAAAGGCTCCAAAACCCACAGTCGGAACAACCCCTCCACAATCCACAGGCTTCTGCCTAGGCCTGAAGGAGGCCCCAGTGTTCCCCACCCAACTGGTAAACCTCTTCTTAGTCTCCCCCTTCCCCCCCAAAAAGAGGAGACCCACAGACCCTGGGGGTGAGGGAAGGCAGCATATGGGAAATGGTGAGACTGGGGCCCGGCTGGGCGCGGGACCATTAGGGAGCGGGGACGGAGCACCTGCCAGGTTCGGGACCCCTTGTCCGGCCCTGCCAGCTGGGGCGTTAGGGGGCAAGCCTTGCCAGCTGTTGGGTATCTGAAATCCGGGTCTGACAGCTGTGTGTGTATGCGATGCGCGGTGCCCGCCGTGCCAGCCTCAGGGTGCCGCTCGGGCGGGCTTCCCGCCCAGGGTCCGCCGGGCCCTCCGTCCACTCCCGGACCCCTCCCCGCTCGGCTCGGGCCAAGCGCCACCTGCTGCGCTTGCATGGGGTGGGGGGCCGGCTCACCTTGAAGGCGACGTCGTAGAAGTCGCCGCTGCCAAGCGAGGGCCTGCCCAGCTGCGGGGGCCCGTCGGGCCGCACCTGGGGGCCAGGGCGCGCAATCCCAGGGCGCGCCGGCCGGGACCCGTTGGCGGCGGGCAGCACGGAGGCAGCGGGCGCGCTGGCCCCCTTGCTCTTGGGGGTCTTCTTCCTGGACATGGCGGGCGGGCGCTCAGGGAGCTCCCGCTGCAGCCGCCGCGCCCCGGGCCGCCCTGCTCCCCGCGCTCGCTGAGCGCGACGCGGATCCGGCCCCGTCCCGCTGTAGCGGCGGCGGCAGCATCCCCGGCGCCCTGCTCCCCCCCGCCCCGCCCCCGCTCCCCACAGCCGGCAGCCACTCAGGCCCGGCCTCCCGCCGCCGCCGCCAATGGCCGCGCTGGGGCGTGGGCATGCAAATGAGCCGGCGGCCCGGGGGCGGGGTCACGAGGCCCGGGCACTGCCCTAGGTGCGCGAGGTGGGCGCGCTCTGCCGGGTGCGGGGAGCTCCTGCCCTGCCCCAGGCCCCGCTACCCCGCTCCGTGGCCACCTCCGTGGGGGGGGGGTGGGCCTGTCGCTTCCCCACGCGCTGTACAACACCCCTCCCTGCACTGGCCCTTGCCCAGTGACCCTCGCGAGATGGCCTCCGGGCCTGGGACCGGGGTGGGGTCGGGGGGGGTGGAGAGTGCCCCGAGAAGGGGGCGCTGAGGCAGTGGGACTGCATGGGTTGGACACCCTGGGTTTCTGTCCCTTCTCAGCCAGAGATGCCACCTGGCCTGCTGTGCCCCCCCTCCCCTTAGGGCAGGCAAACAAACCCGGGCGCTCGGGGCACTCAGGGCTCAGCTGACAGCTGGTTACCAGCGGCAGGACAAGCTAGCACTTGAGAGCGGCAGGGCCTCTCCCCCGCAGCTTCTGTCCGCTGGGCTGAAGCTCCAGGATCCTTGGGTAAAGGGAAATCCGAGTTACAGCTGCAGCAAGCCCTCTGAGTGGCTCTTCTCCTGGGGCTCTGCCCTCAGGGGTCCGGGAGAAGGAGGTGGCTAGCCCCTTGGCCTTCTGGTGCCAGGTTCTGGCCCCAAGGAGGCCCAGTGCTGACTGTCCCAACCCCATGCTAGTCCCAGGCAGACCAGTCTCCAGAGCCTGACACCTCCCCCTGGACTGTCTCCCCCCAGGATTCTCTGGGGTTTGAGCATAAGGCTGAGATGATCATGGGACCCCGGGAGTGGTGAGCCAAGATGCCCCTCAGCTGGGGCTTGGGGGCAGCGAGTGTAGAAAGAAATGCAGTGCTTCTGGGATCAGCCTCTGCTCCTTACTCCTGTGGCAGTGGAGGCATGGCCTGGCCGTCCCCCAGGATGTGATAGCTGTCACATAGACCCTAGCGCCTTCAGAGGCCAGAGCCCTCCCTGCTCCCAGTTCCCAGAGCCCAAATAATGATAATGGACAGAAGCCGCCTCTAGGGCTCAGCGGTCTGGGAAAACACAGGGATGCCCTAAGAGGATCTGGCAGGGCCCTGCATGGGAGAGGCTGTGGGAAGCTGCCTTGTATTGAGTGTCCTTTTGTGGCAGTCATAAGCATCCTCGAAACTATCCTGTGAGGTGGGTGGTGCTAGGATCCCCAGTGATCAGGTAGGAAAACTGAGGCCCAGAGAGGGGGCAAGAGCTGTCCAAGGTCACCAGGCTAGAAAGTGACAGAGCCAGGATTTGTACCTGGGAACTCTGACTCCAGAGAACATAAACTGTCCCATGGCAGAGCTGGTCCAGGAGTCCTCGGGAGACCCGTCCCTCAAGGCCCTATCAGAGCTGGGGGACAAACCTGAGGAAGCCCTCTGAGGGCCCCTTGGCCTCCTTTCTTGTCTCGCTCCTCGGGACCCCTGCTTCTTCCGGCCCAATGCCCAGATGTGTGGATTGAGGGGCTTGGGGTGGGGGTGTTGAGCTCCCACTGCTGGGGCCCTGGGGACTCCAGGTGTCCTATGCTCCACGAGGCCAATTTCAGGGTGGCTGGCCCAGGCTCTCAGCCCATGCCCACTGACCCCAGGGTCCCAGGCAAAGGGCTCCCTATTTCCTCCTGTCAGCTGTTGCCCAAGGGAAACCAGAAAGGAGTTTGGGTCCCCTAGGGGTGGAGGCTCTAGGTAAGCTGAGTCCAGGGTGGGGGCTAGTGCTAATGGGGTAACCAGGAAGAGAGAGTGGGGAGCCAGGAGGGGAGGAAAGCTGAAAGCAGCAGAGGAGAAATACTTGACCTTGAAACCTTTAAAATTAGGAGAATATATGTAAAAACCCAGGTCTCTGATTTCTTTCAAAAGGAGAGAGTTCTAGGTCCCCAGATCATGCATTCCTCTTGCCTCTTGCCTTCCAGCCGTCCTCCTAATCTTTGATCATTATGTCCCTTGGTTCCTCTGTTTGCCATCTGTCTCACCCTCGGGAATGTAAGTTCTCTGGGTACAGGAAGCAGCTTGTCTTGGTCACTGCCATATCCCTGGCAGCTGGCTGAGGGCCTCAATAAACTTACTAAATCGGTGAAAGAAATATGAGTTAGGAATGGGCCCTACTTCAGGAGGACACATCATTGCTAACAAGGATAAGGCAGACTGTGTCGCAACGTGCAGTGAGGCAAGACTAATAATAATCAAATAGCGAGAGCCGGGCTTTGTGGGGGAGGGGCATTTGCTCCGGACTCTGAAGGTTGAACAGGAGTCCAACAGGAGAGGAGACAGAGAGACTTGCTAGGTAGAGGGAATGAATACGTACAAGCTCAGAGTGCCTGTAGGTGGGCATTTTGAGCAGAAGAGGCCAAAGTGTGATCCGGTTGCTTGGAGGAAATCCAGGTGGTAAGACAGGAGGGGGCTAGATTCTAAAGTGAATTTGAATGTTTAGCCTAGGAGCTTGGAAATTGTTCAGCGAGAAGTAGGCAGCCATGCATGGTTCCTGAGCAGAGCAGCAGAGGATACTGCTACAGGGGGTGTAGGAGGTGGGAGCATGGTGCAGCCTGTAGACAGGAATGTGAGTTGAAGGGGTGGCAGTAACCAGGGGGGAGGGAATAGGGACAGAGGAGACCTCCCAGAAATACAGAATCTGTAGGCCTGGGGGTGAGGCAAAGAGAGAGCCCCTGGGGCAGAGACAGTGGAGTGTTGAGGTCCATTACGAACCGCAAGTTCTTTGCTGCCCCTCCCAATCGGGCAGGAAGGCCTCTGTCCCCGACCTCCAGCTCTGTGATTGCTCTGACCAATACATATGGCAGAAGGGGCCCTGTGTGCCTTTCTGGACCCAGACCCTACAGACGGGCAACCCCTACTTCCTGTCTCCTGGAACACTCGTTCTTGGAACCCGGCTGCCATACTGTGAGAAAACCCAAATAGCCTTGTGAGGAATCCCAGGTGGAGAGGAACCCACTTGCCACCCAGGAAGTCATCCTGGCTATTGGTGCTCTGGTCCTGGTGGGTTCCATGCAGAGTACAAATAGCTGTCCGCACTGAGCCCAGCCCAAACTGCAGATTCAGGAGCACTGGGGGCATTTTTTGTTTACACAGCAATAGATAACTAGACCAGGCTGCCCGCAACGGGGAGGAAAAGGGCCAGTTTGGTGGGAAAGGTCAGGAGGGTGGCCGTGGCTGGCCCTGAGATGCCTGGATTGTCAGGCTGAGCTAGAGTGCAGCGGGAGGGAGGGGTGCCCACGGCCCTCAACCCTCCTGGCATAGGTCTGGCTCCGCTGGACAGGCAGAGATCTACATGTGCCCATACCTTGGCAAAGAGCTGGAGGAACCCCACATCTCTTCCTGTGTCACTCTGGATCCTCACCCCAGCCCCCTCTGGTGGCCCCCATTCCAGGTGCCTTCACAGGCCTGGCGACCCCAGCTTCTGTACGCTGCCTTCTGACTTGCCCTTCTGGGGGCCTGGCCCCTTGGTCCTAGAGTGACGTGTGCCATGAGTCCCAGACACAACAACCCTCTAGGATCTATGGGCTGAGGCTGTCTCTCTCTGGAGCCCCACTTTCCAAGCGGGCCAGCTTTACCCCCACATCCTACTCACCTACAGGGCCATGGTGTTCAAGCCAGGTGGGCTCAGGCAGGGGTGAGAGTCTTCTTGACCTTCCGGGCTCTGCTTGGAGCGCCACCCCCACAGGCAGGTAGCCTTCCCTGGCACCTCCCACCCCCGATTCTTGCTCCACTCACGTGGACACTGACATTTGCTCTCCATCGGTTCCTTCGGGGGCTGCCCGGCCTCAGCCCCAGCCTCTAGGCCTCCTAAGGACAGCACCCAGCCTGCCTCCATGAAGCACTGAATGGAGAGGTCTGTGACCGAGCATGATGGGGCTAGGCTGGACTTCAGGGGTCTGTTAGTAAGCAGGGAGTGGTGAAGCTCCCAAGCCTTGTGACCCCAGAGTACCTCTCATACATCAGTCCTAGGGAATTCAGCTGTCTGTGGTCTCAGGGGAAGGACCCTGGCCAGGAATGTGCCAGCAGGCAGAGGCCCCACACTGGATCCTGGGCGTGCTGGGGGACCCCGGGAGTGTGGTGTCTCTAGACCCGCTCCCCTCTCCCTGAAACGAGGGGGCGGGAAGAGCTGATCTCTGAGGTCTCTTCCAGCTCCAACACCTTATGTTCTATGAAATCCACGTGAACGTTGCTATAGAGACCGCAGAGAGGAACCGCTGCAGCTCGGAATTGGACCTCCACCCAGGAGAGAGAAGAAAGAGTCACCCCAGGAAACAGCTGATGTCAGAGGTGTGCTCGCCCCCTCCCCCCCACGCCCAGGTGCACAGGGGCCACACCGAGTGTCCTGCTCCTGCCAGGACACACCCCACCTGCCACGCACTCACCTTTGCGGCACTGAGGCCCGCCTGGGCAGGTGGTAAGGGGTGGGCGTCCACCCCTGCCTCCGTGGGGAAGGGACTATTGTGTGAGGACTGGGGCAGTGGGTTGTTTTCTTGCAGATGTGCCCACAAGATCTGCCCTCGGGCTTTCCTTCCCACGGCAGCTCAGGCACTCACACCCGAGTGCTCCTGGTGGCCTCAGGATGCAAAATGTGCCTGCCGGAGAGCCCGCCCAGGGCAGGGGTGGGTGGCGCTGCTCTGCAGCGAGGCCCCGGTGGGCAAGACCTCTGGCCGGAGGAGCACAGAGCAGCCCAGCCGCCTCCTGGCTCCAGGCTCTCCGGGCAGCTTTGCAGGGGAGGCACACGTGTAAAGGCATAAAAGGGACGCCCCAGTAACTATGACAACCGCTGAAGTCCCAGCCCTGGCTGCTTCTGCCTGGGGCCAAGTGCTCCGCTTGCATCCTCTCTCCTTTTTTTCTTGGTTATGAAAGTGATATATGATTTTGGGGGGGCTTGTCAACAACA